TTTATTTATAACAATAGTGAATAATTTAGCAAAACAACTAATAAGCGTAATACCTCAGTCTATAATTATTTACATTAGCATTATCTCCCTTTTTGAATACAGGTTTAATGACACCTTTAGACCATGAATTTGGGAAACATTGTTTATCAAGAATATAATTAAATAAGATCTCTAACGGTTTATCTAAAATATCAATACCTTCTAAAAATACTCCTATAAAATATTATCTAACGAACACGCTTTATCCCTGCCTAACAATTTAATAGCACTTCTTATTTCATCTAATGTGAACGCTTCATTTAATTCTTCAAACAATAAGTCAGCAGAAACATGAGAATCAAAATCATTTAAAAATCTATACAATGTTAATCCTCATTAATTATTAATTCTGAGGTCAATTCTTTAAAATGTTCATAGAAATCATTTATATCAATAGATTCGCTACAATCAGAATTATTTTATGATTGAAACATTTTCCAGAATTCTTTTGGTTTTTTATTTTTCATTTCCTCCATTTTTAACGATATACTTTTTTAAGTATTTTTGTTTGGTCACTTTACAGCAGTATTTATAATCTTTTTTCTTACTATTCAAAATTGTTTATTTTCATAACTTCTCTCTTGATTAAATTGTGAAAGTGCTTCTTTGTAGCTTTCTTGTTTGCTCCTACATAGATCATTAAACCATTTATTTAGATATAGCAAAGAATGACATTCATTATAATATGGTTTTTTAGGCATTTTACGATGTATTTCAAAATACTTATTTACTCTGCTAGTAATAAATTCAGATACAAGATTTACCAAAAAAATCGTACTTTGGCCGCTGTCTTTATACGCGTTTAAGTTAAAACATAATTCATCTACATCGCAAGAAGTCATTTTTAAACTCAGGGTTTCATTTACGAAAAACACGCTCGTTATTTTTCTTATCATGTAATACGCTATTCGCACGTAGTGAAAATAATACAGGCGCGTGATTGGAATACGTGGTAAAATCCTGTGCATTGAAATAGGAAATATTACAAAAATTACATTTATCAGTTATCAGTTAATCAACAAGACTTTCACCATTATGTGTATAACATGTGTATTGACCCATATTAGCATCTTGACTAATACGGCCATTTACCACACGAAAATCTAATGCTTTACATAAATCGAACAAAAGATCGCCAAAGCGATTTGATCCTTGATCAGTCGTTGCTCGTCCACTGCAAAAATTCGTTATATCTCGTAACTGCGAATCATTTTCTATAAAGTCCATTTTTTACCAATTCGTGAGTTTAGATCGCCAAATACATACACCTGACTTTTATCCTTGAAACAACGAATATCATCCTCAATTTTTGAGAATATATCAAAATCATTAACAGTGTGTATAGGCGAGTTTTCAGTGGCTATTTAAGTAGAACAGAGATACATATGGCTATCAATGTTAAAATATGATGCATCTAATTTAAACCACTGTATAAAATTAACGTCATTTTTCACTAATTTAACTCCTTTAATAATTGAGTTTTTAACATATGTCAAAATTCCTCCACTATTTCTTTTCGCTCTTTTATTTTGGAATTTTCTGGATGAGTGAAACAATTTATATCCATTTAAGATTATTTTAGAATTTTTACTTGTCCATGTTTCGTTTAAAAATATCAAATCATATTCGGGACGAGGTGCCTCCTGGTCTCTACAACTTCTTTCGGGTATTGCTAGCTTAAACCATATGGCCTTGACAGCTTACTCGCGTTTGCCCGTACCAACTCCTTTTCGGGATCGAACGCAAATTTTGCGACAACGGGTCTTATTTTATTTGCCGATTCTATGAGCACATTGATTTTTTAGCATTTTCAATGTTCATTTTATTTTCAATTAGGTCATGGACTTTTTCAACACAGTCTGAGGGGGTTTCTCCCTTAACTTCCGGTATCCCGAAAATAAAAGATTGTCCCGCATACTTCGGCTTTTGAGATCCGTGAGTTCTGCTTTCCATTCCGCCTCTTTGTCGCTTTGTTCCTTCTCCATGCTTTTTATTTGATTTATCATCGAGTCTATCTCCTTTTGTTTATCATGAACATCATCTAAGCATTTCGAATCATAGGCCCGTTTTCAGAATCGATGCTTACACTCACACTCATTGAGTCAATCCCATATAATTGCCTAACGGTCAAGACAGTCCTCAACCTTTCAGTAAAGTTGTATTCAGGTTATAAAGTAATCGTCGAGTGAACTCAGGAAAGTTGAGAATCTGTAAGATTAGGAGGGGCTACCTTGAGGTGTCGTCAATAAGATAATACTGAATACCACTTAGTTTTGAGTATTGATTTAGAATTAAGTTCGTCCCATATACATTTAAGTGCATCATATACGCGAACTGACAGTATTTGAGGAAATAGATGTTGAAAAACAGATACTTAGGAATAGAGATGATCCCATTAAATTTATGTCAGAAGTTGAATTTTATCAGAAATTTAGATTTTCAAAGGAGTGTGCACATTTTATACCCGTAATGATACAAGTAGTATGAACTATTAGGAGTTTATTCAGCTCGTAGGACACCAGAACTTATGCCAAAAAGAAATGAATTTATAGGATTTCAAGTTGGAATTGTTTTTAATTTCTTTTTATCCATAAAAACAGCTGGTCCTGTGTTTGTCAATGTGACTGTCCATGATTCTGGACGCAAGTCCTCGGATGATTTGTCCTATGCGTCTACATATAGGCCTATGATATATATTCATGTTTTAAATAAATACCGTTTAGTTATAAGTTTTTTTTGTTTTGTTTATGAAATATTAAAAAATAACAAGATACAAGTTATTTCACACTGTTTGAATTTTTGGATTGACAGAATTCCCAATCCATATATTTAAGATATTTCAAAGGGAAAATGACAGAAAAAATTCTTATGGCGTCATGAATAACTACGACAAGTTAACGTTGATGACGTCTGAATATTTTGATTAAAAAAAATCAAAATCCATGTAGCAAAACAAAATTTTGAACATTTGTTTAGTATGATTTATGTAATATACAATTTACTTAACGTGTATGGTGTTTCATTACTAAGATCCAGTTTGTATTTTTAATAATGACTGTACATTGTTTTACATGTATTCCAGCATCACAATCAAACAATATTGTTTTGTTTATTTGTTTGTTTTTGTTTTGTTCTTTGGGGGGATTATGTACAAAATCATTGAATTTGATTTAGAAATTTTAAGATTCTATATTAGCAAATACCAATGATAAAGATTTCAATAAAACTGTCTTGTTAAAGGTTCATTATGCCTCTTTCTATTTTAATTCTTTAGAAAAATAATTAAAACCTATTTAAAGTTGCACTAAGCGTATAGTTATGTCTTATGGTGGTAGAAAAATGTAAACAATGTAGTATTTTGACTTCCATACAAAATGATTATGCAACATGTTTATACCCTTTGCAAAACTTGAATTTTTGAGAAATAAAAATAATAGGATTGCTGAGGCAAAATGGACCTTTAAAATGTCATTAGATGATTAAAAAAGAAAACAAAATAGTGTATTGCAAAAAAAAATTATCGACATAAAAAATGTAATGCTATTTTCAAAATATAGTTTATGCTATTGAAATAAACAAATATTTTCAGTTCTAAATGCTTTTTTTTTTCATTACTTTCTTAAGCTTGTTTTTTTCGTCCTGTCTTTCAGGTGTACAAAGATTATTTTGCTATTCTAGCATTAACTAATTGAAAACTATTAAATTCTCTTTAAATTTCTCCTCGTGCTTTTGTTTATCGAACATTATTTAAAATCGTTTTTTGTACTATTTTTCTTTTACATAATTAATTCTTTATTAATAATTTTTCCTCTTCGGTGAAATACACACTTTTTAACGACATGGTTCCACTTTTACGATCTATATTGAGTGATGTTATGCAATAAAACCGATCGGTCAACTTTTGAAGTCTCCCACACGAGAGGTAAGGTTGAGTAAACAAAATGAATAACACTTTCCACATTGTGAGTTACTTACCGACAGTCTACTCCAGCGTTACTTGAGGTGACCTTTCGTGAGTTTGAGTCGAGATTGAGATTAGGTATCGTTTCTGAATACGGGCCATAGTCTCTACTATTCTCTAATTCTAATAGTTTATTTTCCACTTCACTGACCCGTTGATCTACCTTATATAAATTGACAGTAATATTATCAACGGTACTTTGTATCTTGTCTAATTGTAACAGACGTTTATCTATGCTATCAAGCCTTTGAAGAAGAGCAGAGAACTGGTCACTTGGTATTTGGTTAGGTAGACATTGTAACGGTTGTTGTGTCAAAGTTGGCGACCCTTGATTCAAAGCTTGTATATATGAATAACCAAGTGAAGTTAAATTTTCACTTGCCTGTGGTGTACAAAAACCCGAATTTTTTGGTTGATACTGTCCATACTGTATCTGTGATTCAGGGGTTTGCACCGAATTTATGGGATTAGCCGCCATAGACAAACGTGTTGGGTCCGGGACGGTGTCTTGGGTGAACTCTTACTCCGTTTCCTTCTTCCAATCAGAAACACATCAAAAACACAGTATACACTTTGAATTAGTCCATTTTTCACTATCGTTAATATCCAAATATAAAATTCCTGATGTACTATATCTTTAGATAAGAGATATATTCATTTATTTTAGATATAATCAAGTCTTATTTTAATTTTTCACTACGAGAGTTTAAAAAATAAGCATATTTAACGCATGCGCAATTACCTATGTATATATGTCTCAATGTCCAAACATTCAAAAATATGTTAAATATGTACTGCAAATTTTAATAGGCATTATATATTATGATTAAAATATATGCATTCATTTCCTATTAAAAATTTGGCTAAGACTTAGAAATTTCTAATTACCTCCCTTTAATTTTAATTCGGTAATATCTTTACAAATAAAGCTTTTTGGAACATAACGTATTGATAAATCTTCACTTAAACATCATATTTATGATATAAAACGATAAAAAAAATGAGGTACAGGATCTTGAAGGCGATGATAACTATATTTCTAACTTCACCAGATTGTGACGATACAGACACAGTATACCAAGTGGAGAACGAGAATGAGAGATTTATTGGATTATCTTATGGTGTTGCTAAACTTGGCTGGATGAATACTTTTATCAATGGAAAACAGTTTTTACCACCTTTAGCAGATGAAAGGGACGAAGTCTACAGCGAATGCTTGCATCAACAATATCATAGTTACTTTCTTAAAGGTACATGGATACAATTCTGATTCATATACACTGTATGATAAAATGATACAAAATAAATATTATTGTCGCAGTCCACTCTTACGATATGGGAAAGGTGCTGCTAAGAGGTTCTGGGCTTGAGGGTTGCTATAAAAATACAGAAATACGCTCTCAGAAAATATTTATTATCGATGAATACGAAGTCTGGCTCGCGCCATGAAAATCTTCAGTAGGAGTGCAAAGACAAAATAATGACAAATGACACAAAATCATGAATGGCAAAATGTAGAATAACAAGTATGGGATCAATACAGACATTCATATTTACCTATAAAAATACAGAAATACGCTCTCAGAAAATATTTATTATCGATGAATACGAAGTCTGGCTCGCGCCATGAAAATCTTCAGTAGGAGTGCGCATGCGTGAAGGTACTTAGTGCGGAAATAGAATATTTAAGATTGAGGCCCGTACCAATGGTTAGTACATACTTGTTAATAAATGAATAAATGAAGAAATGAATGAATGAGTAAATGAATAAAAGGATGAATGTATGGAATATAGGATAAGGACACAAATATAGGACTTCACATAATCTACGGTGTACAATACGGGACATACATTTACAAATAACATCTAACATTAATACATCAATATGACCCTGCGACATCATAAATATTGTAATTGCAAGATTTAGACATAATAAATTAATAAATTTATTATTAATATTTCTTGCATCTCAGACAGGATTATCTTCCGTTTACACCAGTGCTAGAAAACTCTGTCTTACACCCCCATGTAAGACAAGTCGCGTGCATTAAATGACGTCATTGCCGCGCGCCTTTTATGAATGAATCGCGTTCTTAATATGACGTCATTTTTCCGTTATGAATGAAGTTGTATGTTCATACGCTACTATAAGAAAAAAGTGCGTAATGAGATTATCAGTTTGCATAATTTCTGTTCCGAAAATAATTAACACGTAATATGCAAGAAAAAGAATCAAACACCGGCTATTGGTACAGACGGGAATATCTAGCTCTCGGGTAACTGTTAAGCGGAAACTCGGCAGAGCCTCGTTACCGCTGTAAACAGTTACCCTCGAACTAGATATTCCGGTCTGTACCGGCAGCCGGTGTAAGATTCTTATAGTATCTACGACAAGTTTTCTGGTTTCATTGATTTTATCTTAATGTTTATTTCTTAATTTGTCATATGTAAAAGCATGTAAAACATGACCATTGGCATACATGTACTATATGTTTTCTATCATTTCACCGTTTCTCTTTAACATGGAAATTAAGATAGACAGTGTCATAAGAACTTTAAAAGATCTCCCTTAACTGATATTTCTTTAACGAAAGGTTATTTAATGTTTTCTAGGAAGACCATATGTGCTGTAAATAAATTATATCAATCACAAGCAGGCACTAAAGTATAACCAACGACGACGTTTGACAAACTCGTTGGATTGTTCCTAAAAGGATTCCGTAATCCTGTGGGACACGTGGTTGTTTGAAGATATAAATCGGATCTTAGCCATTCGATCAAGCAAGATGCCCTATTATTTGACTAATGATATATCGATCCCGTTTATATTTTTTCAGTAGCGACGTGTTTTTAAAGTGCTTTTACACATATTGTATTAATAGCTTGAACGTTTTGTATATTTGTTTTATTGTAGAATATCTGTTCTGTCGTCGAATTTTGATGAAGAGTATTCATATTTTCTACAATAATTTCCATGTTTGTAATTGTAAATCACTTAAGTGCCAATGATATTTTATATAGCTGAAAGGAACACAATCCATTAAGTAAGAAGTGACATTGTGTTGGGAATATAATTATGACGATAATTATGACGATTATTGGACGAACAACTGTGATGAAATCTACATATACGCCAGAATGTGTCATGGGAAGCTTCAGTTTGACTTATCGTATTTTTCAGAATGGGGTTGCACTGATTGTTTATGTTTAGGTAGTGTAAAAAATTTCTGATGTTTACCTAAGAATACAAGAGTTTTAGAAAAAAGTTAAGAATTTATTAAGTTTCTGATTCTGTTAATTTTAAACGAATCATCTAATAACCGCAAGATAATAATATACATGTAGTTTTATTCAAAATTTTTAATGAATACCAGTATTTGCCCTCTTTATAGCATGTATTAGTTTAGGAAATATTTTTATCTATAAACATTACATTTACATGATGATTGACAAATAATAAATTGTACGGATTGAGTAGGAAGCTTGAAAAGAAACTCTCTCCGTAACATGTATTAAAATATGTATGTGTTCAATGATTGTACATTGTAAGCTAAAACTTTCCATCTTTTTTTATTAAAGATAAGCTGTGAATGCTTGTTTGCTTTTGTGTAAGATGGAAGTTTATTCCAGCGAGTGAGCTTCAAAAATAGTATACTGTTTTAAAATTTGACGAGATAAAATTAATTACACTCCTGCCAAAAAAACAAAAAAACAACATATATTCTGTTAATTGCATGCTTATATGAGTTTAAATCACTTTGGATATTGAAAAATTTTCCCCGCTTGTAGCCTCTATTTCATACGACATTCTCATACATAACAATAAGACAAAGGCTCAAAACAATTACTCTTTATTGCGATAATATTCAGTTTAAACAAAATTTTTAATGATCGTCTGCTTTAATTAACAAAACAAAACAATTCTTATTCAAGTTATACCATGCTGTTAAACACTTGATTTTTATACTTGAAACTGAACGAAGTGTTTTATTGACAAATTATTTATGGGCTCGAGAGTATAGTTTTAATGTGATTAAAAAGTACATGTATATATATTTTGGATTTAGTGGTTTTTACATCTAAACCAAAGAACTGAGATTGTTATAAAGATTGTAACAAACAATAAATAATTATGAATGGATTTGTATACATTCAAAAAGCGACTAGGAATTTGAAAAACGCGAAAAATTTTAAGGTTTTACGAACACCGGGTTATGTACTTATATTTTACAGTTGTAATAGATTTTTATATACTTAAAATGTGCAAATGACTTTAAGGGCAGTTTTGCATGCAAAAGAAAGTGTAGTTAACAAAATATAATAAATCTAACTGTAGTGGTCAGTGAATTGAAAAAAAGCAAAATCAAATATGGGGCACCTCATTGGGAATAAAATTATTGTTGTTTATTTAAGTAGTAAAGTGTAAAATTACAGTTTATTAATTTTCACTGTGAAATTATCATATACAATTTTTATGGATAATTTATCATTCTCTCCAAAGCATAAAATGATATCCAGTTTTCTAATAACGCGGTTCTTTACTGTTTATGCTTGTGTTTCATTTCAGTGCATTACAACAATGTTAACGTTAAACCTGAAATTGGTCATAAAATTCAACGAAATGAAGTAAACGGTAAATTACAAAGCGTATACACTCCGTTTCTGCAATATAGATGTGAATTCAACATGATTGATGGAGTAACATATCGTACAAAATGGTAAACGCATTTTATAAATTTCATTTATCTTGGAATGAACGACGATACATTTATAATTACATCATATTTATGCAGCATGATGAAATATGTTATAAATTTTTCACATATTCTTATCTCATAAACAGAAGTCAAATTTTTTAATAGTGAATTATCAATCAATTACAATATTCATGACACATAATGACTGACTTTAAAGACTTTCTTTAAAAGTAAATCGAATGTTTAGTTTGTATTTTGTATCAACCTGCCGTCACATTTTAATAAGAACGAATTCAAATTATTTTGTTATTTTAAAACAAGTTATATGAAAAACATGGTATACTCTTCTAAGGTATATAAACGGAACCTTCCATGTTGAGATGGGACCTTCTTCAAATCAAGACGAACTCGTTTTCAAAGAAGATTATTTGTCACATCTTGGACCTGGATATGAGGTAACTTGAATGCAACTTTTAACGGATAAGATTTAATTTTAAAAACTTATTAAATTCATATTAATATGTACCATATATTAACTTAATTACAGAGACTATTAAGTTGAAAGAAAGGTAAAAAAATGTCCCGAGAGATAATGTCATTCAAGACCGAAGGTGGATCGAGATATCATTTTTTCAAGCTGGGAGTAGCAAAACACACACCTTAGAGAGCTAGTATAACATAACTATCATTTTATTTTATATACCAAGACATTTTAAGACAAAATGAAGATATAAAATTATTGAATGACTGATTTGCAAAAAAGCCGACGCTTTTAGTAGTATCGGTTCCTGATTCCACACGCTACATAAAGCACAGCTAAGATGGGAACCAACCAGAATGTAGCCATGCACTTCATTATGTGGTACCGCATTTAGCACTAACATAATACGGTTTTTTCTTCATCCGTTGGATAGTATTGGCTCTTCATTATTTGCGTATATTTCAGGGATAAAATATATACGCGTATTATGAAACTATGTATCATTACAACAGTCCTTCGTTTATTAAGATACAACTTCTGGTCTACAGGTACAATGTGGTGTAATCACAGCTGATGCAAATGAGTCCTCTGAAGCATTAAGTGATGCCTTCTTTGCCGGATTGAAAGTAAGTGCAATGTTTTACGCCTCCCTTAGATTATAGATTCTGACATGAGAAATATATATTGACCGTGAACCTTTTAAGTTAAACGTGTACATTAACATATGACCGTCTTTGCTCGCAGATAAAAGACGAGTCCATCACACTGAGCAAAAGCGGTTCTGCTACTGTTGATATAGAGCAGACGATTCCTAAAGGTTGCTATTACACTGACGACGAAGAACCAAATTGTGAAGAGCGAATGACGTTTGAAGACGAATCATCTGTATCCGATATGTGTGCAGGAAAACTTCGTGTACAAAACACCGCTGATGTCGGAAATCCTTTTGTAAAAATAAATGTAACATATTTTTTTGACTAAATGAATATTTTTATTTGTGTTTGAAAGGGGCTTCTTTATTCTGATCGATTGGCTTTGGTGGTCTTTTTAATTATTATTTAATTGAAATTGTTTTGTCCTTTCAAAATTTTATTTTATTCAGTTCCGCCCATTGTTTTCTCGTTTAGGGCACGAGCTTTCTTTTACTTGGGGACCATACGCCGCTTTTCAAGGAATAGAACTTGTCAATTTCTTAATTATATTTGTAGTCCGATTTTATTAACGGAAGTGGTCAATGCAGTTACTGTATATATTTGATCTATTACCTAAGAAATTTGATAAGAAATCATAGCATATGTAACATTGATGCAAAGACCATATTGGCTCTTCAAAAACAGTCAAGAAAGTATTTTTAATCTTACTAAAATTCTTTTATCAAAACAGTCCAAGTACTATAATTTTCTTTATCAAATAATGATCATTATACATGATTCGCAAGTGTCAATTTGATAATTTTTGTCAGTATTGAAAGTGCCATTCTCCTAAATAGACTTGATTAAAAAATGTTTACATCACACCTTTAGTGAGTTTGAACCCATTTAGGAAAATTGCATTCGGGACCTTTTAATTATCCCCTATGTTCAAGCAAAAATACAGATGACACAAAACAAGCATATTCTTTCGATGTTTTTTACAAGGTCAGTTGGGTCGCCATAAAGGCATTATAGCAGCATGGTAAGGTATGCATCGAGGCCATTGCAACACGTAAGGTCTTCAACAACGTCACAGGAAGTCTGTAGGCATGAAATGCAAAACTATGTCATTGTCACTAACCTTTTACAAAGTTTGTATGTCTTTACCTGAAATGGTCCTGGTCCCTTCTGGGTTCTTGATATTGCAAGTTGCCAACAGTGCAGTGTTAGCGCGCGTCAATCCCTAGTACTTAAGGCTATGGAACATTATCTTGAAAAACAGTAAATGGTAGTGTAAACGGAATGTATAATGTTTCGACGATTGGTTAATTTTGACATGAAAATACACTTATTCCTCGGGGGTCTTATGAAATCTACATTTACTTGTTTATTCGGACCTGTGTATGGTATGTCCTTTACCGGAAGGTTTTAAACCGGTCGGCTTGTTTTGCACGTACATGCCTACACAGTTGGATAGTTGTTGTATTGGTGGATAGAGGTACGATAAGTTTGATATGAAAATATCATAAGCTCCGATAAAATGTGACGCATTCATTTAAATATATAATGTTGTACAGAGTTTAAAGAAAGGTGAACAATGGACAAGTACCACACATAGGATTATGTTGACAACTGCTGACAGTACATATGACGATGCAACAAAGTTCGACTTACAAGTATACGTAACAGACACCCCCGGCCATGACAAACGAAGATCAGTCAGATCAGAGGTATGGTAAACATAATACATGTCGTGCAGCTTTTTATAAAGAAGATAAAACATGGTAAAAAGTTAATGTTATCAAATATACATACATAGTTAAACATTCCATGATATTGAATACTATTGTAAATTTATTATCATTTTAAAAAACTTTTGTCAGTATATTGCTCTCAATTGATTGATCACTATGATTGTCTAACAGCTAGTAACATATTTTATGTTTCTTTCTTTTTTCCAGACTATTGGAGCAATTAATGTGAGTATATTTTACATTAAACACCTAAATTATTAAATGTTTGCATTAAAATTTCAACATTTATCAAGTAAAGAATAAACTCATACGAATATATAGCATAATTATATTTTATATTATATACTTTCCAAGGCTAAATGATATATAATGGTCAATTTTTCTTTGTACTATTTGCATTTAAACATTTAATATTGAAGTATTGTTTTATTCATTGTGTCCAATTTTATACCACAATGTAAACTTCTGTAGGAAAAAATGCAATAGTGTGAATATATTGAATACAACATAACATTTTAATAAATGATAATCATTATATGAAATGTGTGTAGCTAGGGGGACAATTCCTTAGTGGATACAACAGTATACTGCTGTGATATGTTCTGTAGAGTTATCTCCCTTAAAGGTATAAATAAATAGTCTCTTGTTATTCTGATCATGAATTTATGTTTTATGTTATATATATGTTTTTATGTAAACATGTAAAGATGAGACTAAAATAAATAAATAAATAAATAAATGTTTATTAAGGTATTGGTAACGATTTTATGATATCTACAAACTATTATTTCAGGTAAGAATTACTGACAATTACAGACATCGGAACAAAAGATGTTATTCACACGTCGATCCGCATATGAGAACTGTAGATGGATTGTAAGATAATATGCTTATTTAATATAAACGGCTACGCAAACTAAATACAGTATATTTAACGGCTGTAAACCATGTATTAATATACACGTTTGTATCATTAATATCAAGCTCTGATTAGATAACACATACAAATCGGGCAAGAAAATTCTGCAAATCAGCTTATTATATAGTATTTCAAGAGGGGTTTCTCGACAGCTAAAAACAAGTTTTATGTTAGGACATTCATTTGGTCAACTCCCGATGATATCCAAGCTGGTGTCATTTCAGGTCACCAAAATCTAATATATATTCTAAAGTACTCATATCTAGCTTATTTCTCTTTTCAGCATGTATATAAAACAATATTCATATTTTACACAGATTTTTTCTTATCGTAAACTAACTCATACACACTAACTTTAATGTAATTTATTTCAATCTTTATAGTTTTTATCTTCACGAAATGAGCAAACTGATGTTACAATAGGATATCTTTGCATAATATGACCTGACTATTATCTAGTTTTGTTTATGCAGAATAAAGTTCATGATTTTGTTTGACAGAATCTTAAATATTGGGAAAAGTGCATCTGTATAACTGTGTTGTAATTAACAAAAAACAACACAAAGTAGCTGCAAATGAGGTTCACCTGTAACTTTCACTTTTATACGGTATATTTAAACTGAAAGTTTTATCGGGAAGATCATTATATTATATCCTTATTTACTTTGAAATGGTACGTCTTGTAGAGATAATGCATGCAATGCGTAGTTTATTCGTTGGTTAAATAAATAAAAGGTGGGTAAATTTCGACTGAAGATGCACCCTATGCCCGTCGGCATAAACAGCAACGTCTGATTGATAAAATGTCAAAAAATAGATAATACCGATACAAGGTATATATCAAGGCAAATAGCTTGTATCGTTGGCATTTTATTTGGAGAAGCTCATACAAGTGTTCATTTTTATGAGCGAAAACGAAACACCAAAACAAGATTTGTGCTACTCAGGGTCCTCTATTTAGGTTGCTGTTACTAAAGGCAATATATGTCAATGTGAAGATTCGCAAGACAAAAGTTCTTAGAAAATTAAACAAATACTTTTGAAACCGAGACCCGCAACAGACTTTGCAAATGGCAGATTGCTGCATGGCAACTCGTCATCGCAAAAGGCGTCTAAAGTGCAAGGCTATCGGAAATTAAAAAACCGTGTATCCCCCACCCTTCAAATCACCCGCCATTGCCCCTTGTGACTTCAGTTTGTTTTCAAAGCTTAAAAAATACCTTGCAGGTCAAAAATTTGTTCCAGCGCAAACACCTCGATTTTGCAATATTCCAGTGTCTTCATGGTAGAACAAAATATTCTTTCAAATATTGGATCGTCCGTGGCCGAGTGGTTAAGGTCGTTGACTTCAAACCACTTGCCCCTCACCGCTGTGGGTTCGAATCCCGACAGGGCTTTGGATTCTTTCATGTGAGGAAGCTATCCAGCTAGCTTACGGAACGTCGGTGGTTCTACTCAGGTGCCCGTTCGTGCCTAAAATAATGCACGGAAGAGCACCTGAGGTCTTCCTCCACTAGTAAAGCTAGAATGTCGCGTTATGACCAATACTGTGTCGATGTGACGTAAAACTTTAAACAAATAAATATTGGATCTAGACACTGAAATTTATATATCTTTTGGAGTTGAATACTTTAAGGGAATGAAATAATAAAATTTCAATGAAACCTATATGAAAAATCAATTATACTTGCTTTGATGCATTCATATTTAAACCCACCTCATAATTTTTTATACAAATATACAGTTATACCTGTGCTTTTAAGTGTTTTTATTTTTCTGCTGCAAGTTAAGATTTTCGATGTGCAGCATCCCTTCAGGTATCTAGCTAATGTCTGGATAGCAATTTGATTCTTTCTATGAAATTCTTTTTTGAAAATGCAAATATTGATTAAATGAAATGGTTTTTAAATACTGCTCAAATCCATAGGTCAACAAAAAAAACAAATTTTATTTAATTGATAAAACATTTTACAGTTAAAAAAATCTAACATGATATTTTAAAAGTATCACAATTTCAAACTGGTGTAACGTAAACATTGTCATTTTGTATAATCAGTAGACTATATTTGCACCTACTACGAAATGGTGAAAATGGTAGTTGGGCTAGGCAAATTATTATCTTTGTACTTAGTTATGCAAATATGTTATATAAACTGTAGCCAAAATTTAAAGTTAATAGAAACTCGACCTTACAACCTAAAACTCTGTTTGTTTAGCGCCTTAAACTTTATATGTCTGTCTGCTTAATTTCTTATGATGTGATAAGAAACAAAGGTAAATTCTTAAATAATTAAATTTTAATAGCGAAATTACAAAATAATGAAATGAATATTAATCTGTTTAAACATAAATGAGAGTAGTATAAAAGGAATCAATATCTAGCATTATTTGCTTATTCATGTACAATAAAGTAAATGACAAAATGTTTCTCTAATTTAATAAAATTCTACCCTTTTTACAACGGTCAAGGTCAACCTGTTTACAAAACTTCACTTAAAATACAAAAATGGAAACAAAATTTAGCCAACATTAATATTTTCTTTATTATCTGCGGTTTTGGAATCATTCTTCGGTACAATATTTATTTTGTAGGTTCGCATCGGACTTGCGTAAAATAATTATTCATTTCAGAAATATTGACCTAACACCTTTCTTTCCTAAAACGAACTGTTTTGTATATAAAACTTGCTAACCATAGGAATTTTCAGCATTAAAAATGATTATATTTAAACATTTCACTCATTTTTCAGGTATTATGAAGCTCAGGAGGAAGGAAATTATACATTATACAGGAATATAAAATACCAAACAGAGGTTATAAAACTATTAAACATAATGTATATAATGTATATAAATCTTAAATGTTAAATATCCTGTTTTAAACTGGCATAAAATTAGCTACAATGAAGCTTAAACATTGTACCACAAATTATATCACAATTTAGAAGTAAATCCACTGCATTATTATCCATTTATTACATCGAAAGCTTAACTTCTTTTTTAAATTTAGAGAAAACACAATTTTAAATCTACATTGATAACATAATATTCTAGTTATTGCTATTTTGAAAAAAAGAAAAATGAACTTTAAGCAGGGTGGACTTACCAAAGAAGTAGTACGAGTATATTTATCAAATATTTCAAATAAGGCAAATTATGCAATGTAATATATATCTTAGACTATATGTTTTCAGGTTCAACAGTCAGCTCAGTATTGTTCCCCTGGATCAAACAGCGGACCTGTATGTGCATGTGGGATAGCAGTAGCTGTGGGAGCTGACAAATTCATCTTTAATAAATGTTATAACACTATATTCAAATTCGACTTAAAGTGTAATGAAGGTGGCCTTATTGATATCGACGAAATACATCCCCATCATTACAAGGTCTGTATATATTTCAAAACGGGTGAATGTGTAGAAAAAAATCAACATAGGCAGTTAAAGAACATTGACATTTTTAACTATTTTTACACCCATGTTGACATAGAGAAAGAAAACCTTAAATAAAGCTACTGACTTTGTTAACAGCTTGCAGTCTTTTCACCTAAGCTGATCATACTCACGGTGCATATCCATATCGGTACCCTCTTTGCGAAATCTGCTGAAACGGTACCCTCTTTGCATATGCACAGGCCACTCTCTGCTAAAAACAAACCAGCGATGGATAACAATCCAGTAAAATTTCAATATAATAAGGAAAGAAGGTATGACACGTGGAAAAGATGTATACCACGGAACACTAGAATGTTTTATCTATGTGCTTATTTATCATGTGCCCGTTTTTCATTTACTACAACTGCACAATAAGCTACAAAAAATCGACATGTCTTGCTTCGCCCATCACCTTGACATACTTTTCGGGCTGAAATGAACCTGTGGCTTGATTATATATGCATCATACATATTTTGTATGTTCATTTACATATCATCTTCGGACAAATGGCAGTAAATTGTCAAAAATAATTGTAAAATTCATAAAAACACCCTACTTTCGGTTTTGCAGCTGCACGGGCTACCTCTCTTTATTTGAATTTTTATATCACAGGTACCCTCTCATTTTTAGCACATAGGTACCCCCAAGGCACGACATAATTACATATGCTTTTATTTGCGTTAATCGTTAGGTATGTAATATTTCTTACTTTTATGTAAATATTACATACTTAACGATTAACGCAAATAAAAGCATATGTCGTTCCTTGAGGGTACCTATGTGTTAGAAATAAGATGGTACCTGTGATATAAAAATTCAAATGAAGAGAGGTAGCCCGTGCCGCTGCAAAACCGAAAGTAGGGTGTTTTTATAAATTTTACATTTATTTTTGACAATGTACTGCCATTTGTCCGAAGATGATATGTAAATGATCATATTAAACATGTATGATGCATATATAATCAAGCCACAAGTTCATTTCAGCCCGAAAAGTATGTCGGGGTGTTGGGCGAGGCAAGACATGTTTATTTTTTGTAGCTTATTGTGAAGTTGCAGTACATGAAAAACGGGCACATGACAAATCAGCACATAAATAAAACATTCTAGTGTTCCGTGGTAAACATCTTTTCCACGTGTCATTCTTCCTTTCCTCATTACAATGAATTTTTACTGGCTTGTTATCCATCGCTGGTTTGTTTTGAGCAGAGAATGACCTGTGCATGTACAAAGAGGGTACCGTTTCAGCAGATTTCGCAAAGAGGGTACCGATATGGATATGCACCGTGATACTCTTCTAGCGGAATTAAAATCCATAAAGTGCTAAGCCTAATCAGTATCTTAATAAACATCATCAAGGTTTCAATAACTTTGCTTTTCCTGATACATAAAATATTTCTGTGAAGTCAATGTCTGCTATTTTCACATTTTATTTTAACGTATTTCATATAAAATAAGCAATTTTATCAATTTATTTAAATTAGCAGATAATTCACTAACTCGAATTTTTACACCTGAAGACTCAAATAGCTAAACGTCATATCAGATTTGAAAATTTACAAGAGCATGTCTATGTAATTGATAAATTGTCTGAGTTGTAAAGCTAAGATACATTTTCTAATACTTTATATAACATTCATTTCGGAAACATCCTTAGGTAAGAACGCCTATTGGTACTATTATCGACATAGCACTTCATGGGTGGAGTAACACAATGAACATTGATATATACATGTCTGCTAAAGATTACGGCAATGTTGATGGCTTATGCGGAACATTTGATGGGGACAGAAGTAATGATCTTCTTCACAGAGACAACAAGACAATATCAGATGACGATAATCGGAGTTACCGCTTCGCAGATAGTTGGAGGTACAATTTATTTTTAGGGAGCCCTCAGTTTAGTTGAAATCATTATAATATCACTTTTTCTTCAATATCATGAATTATATACTAGACCCTTTCCTTCATAAAGTATATTTAAACGCAGTTTGTCTTAAGTTTCAAATAAGTCTCTTGACAGCTTTTCAGCTATATGCAGGCTTTATAACCTCTGATTCTTTTTTAAGACACTATTTATTCAATGGCGCTCATAGATTTTCTACTTAGGGAACAGATATTCCTTTGTTTTGGTCGCTAGAGTGCTTTCCTCGAAATGGTTCTATGTTCTATTATTGCTGCCGTATAAATACATCAGCGGTTATTTCTTGAATCAAAATTTTACCATTAAAAGTTAGAATGTTAATTATTGTTTTAACCGGTCCTTGGGCGTGGATGGTTGATTGCATTTTCTTCTACTGTTCAGGAACAAAGCATGTTCAATATTTGTTTTATAAACACTGATTTTTAGGTTAAACATTTTTCATAAATTCACCAAAGAACGTTAGGATGAAAGTTGAACATAAATCCGGTTTGTTGTCATTACTCTGAAAAAACTTTTGAGCATTGCGTCAATAAATTTTAAAATACTCTATTTTAAAGTTTTGTTAAGGTATATCGCGAAGAAATCGATCTCGTACGTTTGACCCAAAATTAAAGGAGTAAAAGGGCTGAAGAACTTCAATTTAACTAACGTCGTACTCATTTAGATTTGATAACCCATATCAAAGTTTTTTTATGAATAATTTGATTTTATTTATGAAAACGTCTGATCGTATCAATGATTGTCAGCTTATATAATTTGAACTGCTAGGCGCGTAATGCATTGCAAACATTCCTCGGCAATATAACATATTTATAACGAGTTTATAAATACAGCAGAATTACTTTATTTGAGAATAAACGAAAGATACCTTAAAACTTGATGGCGGCCGTATGTAAAAGTTATAAAACGCAACTACTATCCAATAAAAAGGATGTTGCCAGCCAGCGGCTCTTGTTATATACATAAGATACCGTTTATATAACGTTATTTAATCTGTAAAATCTTAATATCTCTGCAATGAAAAGAAAGCAGATATATTTAAGTGTGAGGATATATACCAGAAATGTATTATGAACCTCTGGTAAAACCTTGCTCCATAATGGATACTTTTTAGTACATATCATATCATATTCACCGGCTTAAAAAAATGTATTAGTAAAATATATCTCTGTAAATATGAACAAAATTATATTATACAACATAAAGTAGTTTTCAATCATTTTAAAACATAGTGATAATTTTTTTTTATGGATAGATGTCTGAATACATTGTCACAACATTTTTTGTGAACCTTGTTTTTTGTAATAGTTTTTGTGATAAGAGCATACTATCAAATAGATACAATGACTCATTTTGTGTGCGTAAACTGGATTTCTAAATTAAATACACTGCTTTGTTTTATGTATCAGATTGACGGATGAAGAAAACTTGTTTAAAAGTAATGCACGATTACTGACACCATGGAACACACAAATGAACGGGATGGCAGATCAGCCTTGTAGCAGACCTAATTCTATTACAAAAAGAAAATGTAAGATTAATCGCAGAACAAGGCGAGAGACAAATGTACTGGTACAACATAAAGAAATGGGCCAAACGTTTCTATCCCGAGAAAGGGTAAGTACTTTATGTTCATTACTAACTTGATAATATGAATTCATCAAATGCCACTCCTTGTGTAAGTTAAAAGTATAATAACTTTCTGCTCAAGCCGCTGATTATGGCGTAGACAGAAGATTACATTAACCATTGCCGTTTGTAAATGGGCTATGCCAGCATTATTTTCGACTTTGGCGTTCTATCTGGGTTTCCAATTCTTTCTTTATCACCATATTTTATATTATGTAATCTCGCACAAATATATATATTTAATGCTTAAATGCTTTTATTATTGCAATGTGCATAAAATTCCTGTCGTCGTCTTTGAATCTTTTGTAAATATTTTTCAGAGGAGCACAGACACTTTTACAAACGCAGAAGCATTTGCGCTGTGTAACAACTCCATTTACAATACTCCAGCAGTTATGGAGTTTCCAGACTATCTTGCAGAAGAAGATCCCGACATAGTTGTTGACCAATGTGTTTATGATTTGACCGTAAGTTTGATTGTGTGAACGTTGTAGTTTTTTCTTTCAAGCAATAGACGACTGTGTCAAAGAAATAGAGCATAATTCTGACGACAGATGCTGACAGATAGTTGTCTGTTTTATATAAGTGCTTCGGTATACTCCATGCTTGGTAAGTATTGTGTGAAAAATATTAAATTTCGTCTTTTTTTGTAAGGTTGATCCGATTAAAAGTTAGCTAGATATATGTCTCTATGAATATCAATACATAACAAAATATATGTCTATATTTCAGCATGGGAATGATACAGGATGGTAG